GGTGGGCGGTGAGAGGCCTAGAGGCAGAAGTAGAGAGCGTATCTGCAGGGAGCCCAGCACTGCCCTGGGTGGGGCAGCCAGAAGGGAGTCCCCACCGTAGAAAGTGAGGGTTATAACATCCTGGCCCCCACATGCCTCCTTCTTCCCCAGCCCCCTGGGACACTCACAGGGCAGCTTGCAGGGTGGAGGGGACATGCCACTGCGGCCCAAGGTGCCCCCCATCAGGACATGGCTCATCTCCTCTGTGGAGCAGGGGACCACCTCCACATAGCGTTCCTTCATTGCTTTCTTATGGCAACGCTGAGCAGCAGCTAGGGCCCGCTCTGCTGATGTCATCTGGATGAAGGCATCACCCGACGGCCGGCCCTGTGCACACCATCTTGTAAGCAGTCTGTCGTGTACAAAAATGCCTTCCTCCCAATCACACACCCCTCTGTAACTAAGTGTGTTCCCCCACTGGACGCAGCTTTACCTGCTGGTTGAGTACCATGTGCACACCATGGGGCCGAATGTCAGCCGCTGCCTCCCCCAGAAAGCTTAGGATGTCTTCGATGGTGGCTGTGTAGGGCAGGCCTCGAAGGCGTACACAGTCTCTCCCGGTCCCAGCTGCCAGTGGGAAGGGGATAGGCAGCAGTGGAGCAGTCAGTGTGGGAAGGAGTGGGCTGGAGGCATAGCGGTTCAGGACCTAGTAAGGAAGGAAGCAGCAGGCTGGTTATGCCAAGTAGGGCAGGGCCAAGGAGGGCATGGAAGGGATACCCTGGAGAAGCACACGGGGGTAGGGGGAGCCCTGGGTGGCTCACCTGCTGCACCTCGGCTGCAGTGCTCCGGAAGAGTTCAATGTATCGCTTACCCAGCGTGCCCTTATGCCTGCGTAATGCAGCCTGTGCCAGCTCCTCACAGGCGAAGAGGGCAAAGGCATCACCAGTGGGCCGGCCGTCAGGGTGGCGCACAAAGAGCAGCCCATCGGCACCCCCAGTCACTGGGCACTCTGGCCCCAGGAAGCCTAGCACATCTGCTGGCCCAGCCGAGAAGGGCAGTCCCCGCAGCCGCAGGATCACTTGGTCTTCCCGTGACAGGAAACGAGCCACCTCTAGTGAAGTGCCTTGGTGGGGGGCGTGGGAGTCACCTACTGACTTCATTTGTGCCCTTCCAAATACCCACCCACACCTAGCACACATGGGAGCAGAAAGGCAAGGGGCGTCGGGGAAGCAGGACATGGATCAAGAACCAGGGGGATCTAGATGCTGTTGGGAGCACACTCACCCCCTGCGATCTTTACAAACTCCTCTCCTGTTGCTTTATATACCTGTGGGAACAGCCCATGAGTTTCATGCTTGCCTGGCCTCAGCTCTGCCCTGCTCCGCTCCCAAGCCCAGAGCCCCACCTCAATATAGCGGACACCCATGTGGTGCTTGTGTCTCTGCAGTGCTAGGTCCCGCTGCTCGCTGTCCACAAAACGGATGAGGGCCTCACCATTTCTGCGGCCCTGGGCATTGAGGCACAGTGCTACACCACCCCTGTGGAGCCAGTGCTGCGTTAGTGCCTCCTGGGTAGGCCTGCCCTCCTGGGTCCACCCGTGCTGCTGTACCCACCTGGCAATATTGAGCCCTGTGAAGAACCTAGCCACGTCCTGGTCTGATGACTGCCAGGGCAGCCCACGAGCCCGAACCACAGTCTCGCTGTCCACCACGTCGGCCTTGCTGCTGTGGGGCGGGGCTCAGTCAGAGCTGTCCAGCTGGTGTCACCCCCAACCCTGCCCCCTCACTCACCAAGGCCCTGTCTCATATTTCTGCTTTACCACTTCGGGCTTCGAAAACAGTTGACCTGAGAGGAGATGGCATGGGGGTCAGCAGGGTCTGGTGGAGGGGGGTCTCCCCACCAAGCGCTGCAAAAAGAGGACAGTTGAGGGGGATGAGGAGGTAACAAAGGGGCTTTCACCTTGTGGTCTCTCAGAGGTGAAAAATGGGGAGGGGAACTTGGAGGAAGTAATAGGCAGGCAGTCACCCAGCCCTGAGAACAGGTGAAAGGTGGTGAGAGGAACCTTACCGCTGGGTCCATCAAGCAGGTGGAGGATGACAGCTACCATTGTCTTCACTTCCCACACCCCAAAATCGTCCTCTGTGGCATCCGTCTCCAGCCCCAAGTCTATGAGCAGAGAACTCACAGTGAGGAAATCCCAGCATGAGAGGGCAACTAGCATGTCCCACCGAGGTTCAAGTCCCCTACACAGACACATGCAGAATCCTGGCAAACACATTTGTTTTGGCCCAGCTCATGGATCCCCTTAAAGATCCCCAGCCCAGACATATGTAGACATATGCCCACATTCCAAATGTGCACAGGCACAGAGACATGCAGTCAGGGACTCAGCAGGTAATGTAAACTTGCATGTGTTCATTCAACCCACCAGCATGCACATACTCAGAGACATTCAGCCTACAGCCGCCCCTCCACCGTAATCCTGCTAGGTCACAGATACCCTGTGCCATGGTGGCCACAGTGAGGTCCCTGGCAGGGTGGGTGCTCGGGTGCTGCACGTGGAACTCTCTGCGGAGGTCGTAGAAGGAGAAGAAGGTGTCGGGGAGCGCCAGGTTCTGGGGGCACATGGGAATGGGGATGAATGGGGGAAACTGAGCTGCCCTGCCCACCCCCGTGACAAGAGGGGTCCTAGGAACCCTACCCCCTGTTGTGCCCTCAGTGGTGGCATACCTTCCTGGAGGCCTCAGGGTGCAGGACCTGTCGCAGCAGCTGCTGCCCATCAGTGCAGAGCATGTAGGGGCCCCCGCCCAGCAAAGCCACATCCCCGCTCACCAGCTGTGAGAACTAGGAATAGGGAGCGGAGAGAGACAGAGGGACTCACAGCTAGGCGGGCAGGGGGAGGGAGGGCACAGGCTTGCAAAGCTGGTTCAGCCAGATGTTCAGCCCTACCCTGCCTGGGGAGGAGGTGGCTATGCCTGTTGGGCCTGGCTCTGTGTCCTCCTTCTCCCCCAGTCCACTGTCACCTTCTCCAGGCCAAATGGGAGCAGTCACATATCACCCAAGCCCCCATCACACACACTCCAGGAGTCTGGAATGGGGCCAGAGCAAACACCTGGTGGAGTAGGACAAGCCAGGTGGGAAAGGGCGGGGCAAAGCAGGTTAAACCTGTCCCTGACCAGGCACCACCCTCAGGTGGGGGAGGCCCAGTCCTGCCTGAGGCCCGGCCTGCTCATGGTCAATGGCAGCCCCGCCCCTAGGTCTGACCAACTGAGGGGCAGAGAAACTCCAAGGACAGAACTGACAGAGCTCCACACCTGGACGCCAGGGGCAGCATGAGCTTTGACCCAGATCTTATCGACCGGCTGGCACTGAGTTGTTTGCTCATAGAGGGGGCGGAAAGCTGCCTTGCCCCTCCCCCATCCTCTATCCCTGCTGGAGAACTGGTACAAGCACAAACCACAGGCCCAAGAACCTCTTCTAACCCCAGCTTTACAATCTGTGCCTGTTTCCTCATCAGGAACCACCAGAGTTGTTGGACGATGAAAGAACTTGTGCTAGTAAAGCACTTTCACTCATTCCACTCAAGAGTCAGGCACAGGGTGAGCCCAGTAATGAAGATAAGAAAAACAGCAAAGGGAACCGACTCCCACTTCAGCCAGGGCCGGGAGGCACCCCAGGCCTTTGCACTCAGGAGGCAGGTAGCCTCCAGGCGGGGTCCGGACAGCGCCCACGCCTGGCCAGCCGGCCGAGACAGGCCTGGACGAGCAGCTTACACCTGGCGGCGCCTGCCTCCTGGGCAGAAACCGCCCTACGCCCCTGCTCCAGCGTCTTCCTGGCAGATGGGTGGGCCGAGGACGCAGGCAGCAGGGACCGTGACCTATGACCAAGTCTGGGCCCCTCGGCCCTTTCAGCTTCCGGCTGCTGTTCTGAGAGACCTGGCCGGGCAGGTCCCCAGAGGCGTCTCAGTCTAGCTCTCCCGCAGGCCGGGGACTCTGGGAGGGGTCTCGCAGCCTCCATCTCCACCCCCTCAGTAGGAGTGGACCACTGGAAAGTCTGAAAAGACGCCCCCCTAGGAATGGCCGGCACACGCGGACACACGCACACACGGGAGTCGCTGAAAGTTTCAAACAACAGGAACCCGTCCTACCGCCCCGGCCAGTTGGTTGTGGTGCGCCAGGCCTCGCCTCCTGCCGCCTCTACCGCCGAGAAATGTCCCTGCAGCCCGGCCGGGCCTCCATTCACCCCGGCCCCAGCGCTCACCTGCTGCAGCACCTTGTCCAGCGGCTCGGCCCGCGCCAGGCTGTCGGCGCTCAGGCCGCTCGCCTCGCGGCACTGCGGGCTCAGCGCGGCCGCCTCGGCGCGTACCAGCGATTTATGCAATGTCCCCACCTGCGAGCGGCGGGGAAAACCGATCAGCCGCTGCGCCCCTCGGATCCTGAAGCTCCCTGGAGATCCCACCGCCCTCTTTCCACCCTACCTGGCGGCTCCGCGGCTCCACCACTTGCCAGACTAGGAGGATTAAGTCGGTCTCGTCGGAGCCCAGGTCCTGCCCCAGCGCACCCGCCGTGGCCCCGAACAGTACGACCAGGGGTCCAGGCCCGGGACGGGGGTCGGCAGCGGAGTCTGCGGCGGGGTTCGGGCCTGAGGGCGGTGGCTGGGGTGGCGGCGGAGTCATGGCCGCAGAGGGAGAGTGTGCTCGACCAGACAGACACACGCGGACCGACGAAGCGCACACACTCACCGACCGACGGCAGACGCGTTTCGGCTTAGGCGGGACACCGTGTGTTATGGGCGGCACCTGCGGCCCGGCTGCCGCAGTGGGCGCTACTGAGACCCGCCCAAGGCGCCCCGCGGGGCGGGGCGGCTACCGGCCCCCGCCCTCTCTGGGCGAGTTACCTGTCGGCCCCGCCGGCCACGTGACCGAGGGCGGCCCCCGGGAACCATGCGGGAGGGCCGCTAGACTCTAGCCCTACACGCGCACACTCACAAGGCTGGCCTGGGCTCGCGCTCCCCCAGCGGGCCCTGCCTGACTTCTGCGGCGACCCCCCTCCCTCTCCGCTCCCCCACCGGGCCTCCGCCAAGGAAAGAGTAAAACCAGGGGCCTTTTTTAGTCCGTAAGGGTCCTTTGGACTTGTGAAAATCACCAGGAGGCAGCCTGGAGGCTGTGGGGGTCACGACGGCGGGTCTGGAGGGGTAAAAGAAGTCACCCAAGGTGAAAGGGGCCGGTAAGAGTTATCAGGTATCACCCAAAGGCTTGTAGGGGGGTCGCCAGAGGTCGACTGGTGTGGGGGGAGGGTGGCAGGAAGCACGAGAGATCATTAAACCCATTTGAGTATTCACCAGAGGTCAGTGGAAAGGGTTTGTGCACACAAGTGCGAAGGCTGGGCCTCAGCCTGGCTCCAGGAAGTGCCCGCGGTGCCAAAGAGCGGTCGGAGGTGCGCAGGCCTCGGTGCTGGGGAAGGAAGCAGCGCGTCTCCCCCATCCCTGGCCCCAGCTCCCGAGAGCGGCTCCCGGCGCTGAGCCGGATGGTCCCGGCAAGGAGCCTCACCCCTACCGCACGTGAGGCCTGCCGCCTCTTTTCGCCCTTCCCCCTTGACAACAGGCCTGTTGCCTGGAGATGTGAGCGTGCTGGCCGGTGGGGGCTAGAGGCAAAAGTGCAGTGTGCCTAAGGGAGCCGCAAATTCTCCATCTCTTCTTCGGACAGCCCTTCGTGGAGGGCTCCCAGCACACTTTCGCCCTGTCGGGCTTGGTGAAGCTCCTTTACGGCGAGTTTCCAGGCCGCCCCGGATTTTCCCGAATTCTCCCGTTTATGTGACTGAGAAACTGAAGAAGAATCCGGCGGGAAGAAGGGGCTCCAGCCCGGCAGGAGCAGACACTGAGGGTTGCCAAGCCCGAGACGGAACTGGGGCGGGAGCCGCACCTCACGCTTTCGGACAAGCTGGGCGCTACGTTCGGACCTTCAGACAACTGAGAGCGAAAGAACCCGGCGTAGAGGAGGCGCCTCCGAGGCCTTGCCCACTAATTCAAACTGCACCGCGTCCCCATTTGGCGGATAAACAGACTGAGGGCGCCCGGGACACGGCGGCTGGAAGGGAGAGGTATGTAGACTGGGTTTCCAGCAGTTTCGAGCAACCAGCCCTTCCCCTTGCGGTGTAGGCGAATGACCACGCTCCGCTGTCCTTGGTAAGACCGCCACCCTACTGCCAACCCGCTTGACCCCACCCCCGGAGGCGCTAAGCCAATCAGGCCCAGGGGGAGGAGGAAATGCGCTCTTCGGGTACCACCCTCCTCTAGATAAGCTTGGAATGTCAAATATTTGTTCGGTGGGCGGGGCGCAACTGCGAGTTAAGGCCCCTCCCCCACCCAGCCAGGAGCTCGCGTGCGCCAGGCTAAATCGGGCCTTCCTCCCGGCCACGCCCTTGCAGCTAATTGCACTTCACCCCAACAGCACCCCAGCCTCTCCTAAAACTTCCCTGGCGTGCATTGCCCCTTGTCAGGCTCCAGACTGGGCTCTGCTCCAAGACGACAGAGCCCCGGGCCATCCCGGCGCTACCTGATCTAAATCTCACCCTTCCTGGTCCCCCCATCCATTCAACCTTCAGACCTTCGCGCTGGGCCCTTCCATATTCTTCCTTCAGCGCGGGTCTCAAAGCCGGGTTCCCGGGGAAGCCTCCCCCTCGAGGTGCCGTCCTGAGCGCATTCCCATTGGAGAGGCATTCATGCGTGTACAGGTCCCTGCGGGGTAGTAACCCCAAGCGTGGGGCGGCTCCCCCAAAACTCCCGTGCACCTGTCCAACCGCCTCCACCTACATGACAATTCCCGATGTTTGGACTCTTGAAAAACTAAATTCGTTAAAACAACCTTAGGCCCCCTGCTTTGCTGAGCTCCCTTACTCATCTTCAGATGGGTCCTCCCAGATCACACCATTAATACTAAACAACCCGCACTCCTGTCCCCCAGCCGGCTCTAGTCTCCTTTCTGCCAGCACTAAACCAGCTACTAACAAGATAAATCGTTTATTGTCTCCCTACCCCACCATCCACCCACCCGCGAGAATATCAGATCCTGGAGGAAAGGCTCAACCCCAGAGCCTATCACTGGGCTTGCCAGGCACATAGTAGTAGCTCAAGAATGAATGAATGGTTGACTAAGCTCTCTTCCCGTATCCATGAAAAGTAACCTTCCCTGGGGCCACAGGGCCTTTCACTAGAGTCTCATCTGTGCCCTTTCCTCCCCTCCCAACACACCCTTGCCCTAGTTAACCTCTGCCCTCCCTCCAAATTTTCCTCTCTCAAGGCACATCCCTCCTTAGCAGGGGTCCCCACTGTAGTTTGAGATTTCTGTATTTCACTGATAAATGTCCCCCAGCCCCACACCGCTACTAGCTAGTGTTCACGAATCACGAATGAATGAATCGGAGATACGGTACGCGGGAGGAATCAGCGAGGCTCCAACGGCAAACCGTACTCTGGGTACCTGGGAAAAAGGAACTTGGTCCATCGAGCCTGCCCGCAAGCTAGCGGAATCCCATCCTCACTTCAGCCCTTGGAAGCCTGCCACTAAGGCAGCCGGCGCTCCAGCCGCAGGTACGTGAAAGTCTGGGCAGATACAGGGTGGAGTTCCTCACCAGGGGAGTGTGGCTCTTCTCGTGGACTTCCAGGGCGTGTAGGAATGGTGTAAAACCCCCTCCTTGTTCCCTCCTGGGAAATATTCCGCTATCGAAGAGGATTCGACACTGGGTGCTTGCTTGGCGATCCACACTCGCCGGCCCAGGCCCATCCCCACCCTCGCGGTCAGCGGCCCCCAGCTGGGCCAGCTACGACCCTTCCTTACTTCCCAGGCCTCCAGAGTAGCAAGCGCACTAGGTTCCCCTGGGGTTCGCATCTCCACGCCTTTGCCGCCGAATAGCCTCTGAGTACCCACCAGAGGGCGCACTGACTCTGTAGACGGAGCCAGGTGTTGCGGGGCAGGGAGGAGGAGCTGGCACTGGAAGGCTCGACCGGAGGACGCCCCAGGTGAAAGGGGAAGCCCTTGACACCGCCCCCCAGGCCACTTACTTCCCGCTTGAGAGTCTTCGAGGCTCCTGGCTCTCTGGACATAGGCCAGGATTTTAAGCTTGGTCTTCAGGGCCCTCAAACTGCTCTGTTCCACTTTCACCCACCACTGTGCTCTACACTGCTGTGATTCTTCTGGTCTACAGACTGCTGCACATGCTAAGCTCCCTGCCTGGAGCACCCACCTACCTCATCATCCCTTTGTTTTCCTGGCACACTCCTACTTATCCATCAAGACCCATCTCTAATAATTCTTCTTCCAGGCAGCCTTCCTTGATGCCTAGACCAGGTTAGAGGCCCTGTTCTGGGCCCCTTGCCCCAGGTTCTGTCATTATTGGGTCAGCGTTGGCCTCTCATGACTCTAGGGAGGCTCTGGCAGCAGAGGAATAGGAGGCTGCTGAGCTGTGAGCTTTAAGGAGAATCATTTGCCTCCAAATAGACTTAGCTGTGGCTACCACACCAGCTTAGAAGCCCTGGTGTTGATTGGGTTGCCCCAAGCCCAGCCACCCACCTGGTTCAGGTAGGGAAGCTTGGAGCTGGGGCGAGGGAGGGGTGGTTGCAGAGGGCCCAGTTACAGAGGAGGGCAGAGGCTGCTGGCTGGATTCTCACCTGAGGAAGATACCACAACTGGCCTGGCTCCTCAGTCCCACCTCTAGCCTTTGCTCAGAATGTTCTGCTCTACAGGAACACTCTCCCTCTTTCCCAGAATTCACATCCAACCTGTGGACCTCTCAGTCCCTTATCTTCTTCTCTAGGTCTGACAGGCACCAGGACCCTATCTTGGAAAGGGAGAGGGTTATAGAGAAGGGGGTTCATCACTCATTGATTCAACATATATTGAGCACCTGCTGTGTGCCAGGGATTATGCAGGTGGTAACCGAGGAGGACAAATGAGGGGCTTGCTCTTCCAGCAATTATATTCTAATGGGAGCTAGGCAGGAGCTGCTTCAAAGCCAGTGATCATGTCTGGGCTGAGACCTAAATCAGTTGGGTCCCCAAAAGTGGGGTCTGCAAAGTGGTCCCAGTGCAACAAGTGCAGAAGTCCTGAGGGAGAATGAGGATATCCTGTTCTAGGCAGCAAGGAAGCCATTGAGGCCGGAGATGAGAGAGTTGGGGAAGAGGGAGAGTAGAAGTTGGGGGAAACCAGAATACCCGCCAGGGTCCTCACTCACTGTGAGTGAGATGCATATGATGCATGCAATGAGAGGGTCATAAATGGGGTTAGGTGGACAGTGATGGGGCCTGATTTAATGTTTAATGCCACAGGAATAAGGGCATAAGTTAGGACATCAGTAAGGAGGCTAGTATGGAGATGAGGGTAATGTGGCTTTGGGATGGTAGAGCTGGCAAAACTTGGTGACCACCTAGTTGTGCGTCTGAGACTCAAGGAGGTATCTTTAGTCCAGGATGACCCGGGGTCTGCGACCCAGGGGATCATGTGAATGATGGGGTCATGGTGAAAATGAGGGAACCTCACCCTCTGACCCCTCTCCATAGTGCCAGCACTGGTTATTACTGACCAGACCTTGGCACCCCCTACCCCAATGGCCATGGTCCTATCATCTTCAGGGCCTATGGGAGTGGGGCAACAGGGAACTGCTCCCAAGAACAGGGCCACCCTTTGAGAAGCCCATGGGCATCTGAGGCTGCAAGGCTGACAAGACATTCAGACTGTGGCCAGAGTCCAAGGCAGCCCAGGCTGTCCCGATCCGTACCCTACCCCCACTTAACCCGTGGCTCTGGACTCCTGCCTGTCCTAGCCCTGGCAGAAGGGTCTCTATTGTCTCTCATACTGGGCCTGCACCAGATTGGTCCTCAGCAGCCCCTCTGCTGGGGCCTGGGATGGAGGTGAGGGAGGCAGGGGTTTTGAAAGGGGGTCACTGGGCCAGGGTCTGAGGTGGGAGATAGTTGGACCTTAAGAGAGGAGGGTATTCCAACCACGAATGTGTTTCACTAAAAGAATATAGGAGGGGCAGGCCAAGATGGTGAGTAGATTCATTGAGGGTCACTGCAGAGAGGCTGGAAAGGGTCAGCCGTTGACCAAGAGGAAGAAAGGAAGGAAGAGAGAGAGGGAAGGAGGGAGGAAGGAAGAGAAGGAGGGAGGGAGGAAGGAAGGGGCAGGATAGAGGTCTTGGGACCAGCCAGGGATGACCAGGGTATTGACTGGCTCTCAGGAGGGGGTGTGTGAAGGATCAAGACCTCCAGTCTCCAAACATGCTGGTCACCCTATTCCAGAGTGACACATGGTACCAGAATATTACAGGTTGTCAAATCTTTGCCCACTCTATCCGCCCCGATTCCATGCACAGAGAGTCTGTGCCGTGTCTGGATCCCCGGTTTGCGTGGGGTGGGAGTGGTAGGGGGATATGAGGTCCCAACACCCCTTCCGGTCTTCAGGGGAACTAACCGATGGGCTGGCGCAGGATTGAGGCTCAAGCCCTCTCTTAACCCGGCGAGCAAACTGTTTATGTTTAGTCGGCGCGCGCGCGTGTGTGTGTGTGTGTGTTTGTGTGTGTGTGTGTGTGTGTGTGTGTGTGTGTGTGTGGCGGTGGGTCATACTACACTCCAGACCCTGAACCAGGCGGGACTGAACTCTCACTGGGAAGCGAAACACGCTGACCTGGCCCCTTCCCGGGCAGACAGCAGGTGGCCCCTGGGCCAGTGTAGCTTGAACCCAGATGCCCTCGGGGCAGGGTACAAAGAACCGACTTGGGAGTTGCCCAAAGGTCCTGGTCAGTCTCCTCAGGCTCGAGAACAGCCTGGGACTCACCTCTCCCCTTCTTCCTCTTGCTTTGACCCGGGTAGTTCAGTAGCGGCGAGCATTGGACCCTGAATTCCCATTCAGCCCGGCGCATTCTAGATCCCTCGTCAAGGAGGCGCCAGGAATCGGGGATGTGAGGGCTGCGCTGCGTGGACTCAGGGTACCGAGGGCTGGGCTGGGTGCCCAGCAGACGCGAGCTGGGTCTGATCAGCTGAGAGCGTGCGCGAAAGCCAGGCTGAGCCTCGGTACATCGATGCGCTCGGCGTGCAGCGCGGTTAAGGGAGTTGGCCAGGGATGAGTAGGGGCTGGGCGGCGAACTCCGACTGGGAAGGAGAGTTCCTATTGGCAGGCCGTTTGCAGGAGGCGGGTCCTGATTGGTCCGGCCTCTGTGAAGGCTGCGAGCGGCGGGGTTAAGCGCGTCGCCGCTGCCAGGGCCTAGGCGCGAGACCCCAGAACTGAATCCGCGCCTCGGACCTGCAGCTGCGGTTACTGCCATGGGCCTCCGCCTCTGCCCTTACCGCGCCGCCCTGCTCCCGAGCGGCCTCCTGTTACTCCTTATGCTCACAGATCTGGCACTCCCGGCTGGACGTCCGCCACCGGTGGTGCTGGGTGAGGCGCGCGTCCAGTCGTGGGTCCGTTCGCTCGTGCGTCCGGCTGGATGGGGTGCGGGCGGGGCTGTCTGCATCTGCTCTAAGCACGGGGTGAGGGAGCGTATGATTGTCTTGTCATCTGGGTCGGCCCGTCCACTTCCTGCTATGCTGGGCGCGGTTGTGGTCAAACTCTTGTCACCTTACCCTATAGAATATGGGGGTAAGTGGGAGGGTTACCACCCGTTTGCGCATCGGTACGCCTGTTCATCTCATTCCCAAGCCTCGCCTCATCCCCATTTTTTAGCTGGAAAGACCGAGGCTCTTTGGCCCCACTCCTGAGGGCCGGTAGGAGGTAGGGTGGCTTCGGAGTTGGCCCTCAGGGGCCTCAGCGTTGACTTGGGCTTGGCTTGGACGCTGTCTCCCTCCACCCTTCCAGCCCGACACGTTTCAGAGGGCATTACTGAAAGGGAGCTCTTTGGGGAAGGATTGCTCTCCTAACCTGCCACCAGGGCTCTCCCCTAACTTATCAAATATGTGGCATTGGGCCTGAGGGAGGAGGCCCAAGGGAATCTGAGGATGGCTATAGACAGAGGGAGGGGTTGAGACAATGGCTATGAACAGATGTCATACTGTACCCTTACTCCTGCCAGACCTACTTGGACTCCGTACGCTATGTTGGGGCTAGGCAACCTCCCCTGCCTACCTCCTCCTTGCTGCTGGCCCAGGCAACTGTCCAGGAGCCAGTAGTATTTCCTTGTGGTGGGTGTGGCAGGGATGAGACCTCTCTGTCTTGGGGTCTTTGGGTGCCTCATTCAGGCCATCACTCCCACGAAGAGCTAGTGTGTTGGTGGCCATCCAGGGCTCCTAAAAGCAGAGGCATGCCGAGGTATACATTACATACTGAGTCTGCTGCAGCATGACCCCCATGCTCTTTCTGCTGGGAGTATTTTAATGGGGATGATGCAGATCACAGAAGGGTAGGGTTAGCAGGTAGTGTGATCCCAGGGGTCCTCCACCAGGAGCTCTGGGCCAGGAAATGCTCCCAGGGAATGCTGGACCCAGGTTCACCACGGAGTTTGGGCAGATTTGGCCTTGCCTTCCCTAAGCGTGCAGGATGATTCCCAGAGGTGAGGTCTGTGCTGGGCAGGCACAGAGAATCCACTGACCCAGTCAGGAAAGGTTTCCTGGAGTACGCAGCTGGAGCTGAGTCCAGGAGAGAGTTCCAGGCAGAGGGAACTACGTATCAGAGGGAGGGAACTAAGCAGTCCAGGCTCTCTGGAATGGAGTGGGGGAAGGAGTAGATGGTGCAGGGCTCGTGACTGGTTGGGTCATCTGGACTTTGTCTTGGGAGCCTGCAGGGAGCCTTGTGTGGACCTAAGGAGTACTGAGTATGAAGGGTGTGGGATTGGGAAGTGTGTGGTCTCTGACCAGACTGGTCCTAGGCCTTTTCACCTGTATTGGTGCTAAATGCACTCATTAATTCATTCAGTTCTTAGTTATCCTAGATCACAGCAGAGGAGCCTCGGGTTGTACCTAGAGGCACTGAGCAACTGGAATCGTAACCTGCCCAGCTTCTCAGAGAATGAGGCTATTGGCATTAATCCTGGGAAACCCCATGGTGGACAGCAGACAAGCTGTTCCTGGACACAGAGCAGGGACCTAACCTTGGCCATCAGAGGATCAGCATCCAAGGGTGACCAGTCTCTGTGGGTGGGACTCAAATTGGTGGTAGAGGAAGCAGAGGCCAGAGAAGAGATACTGAAGGCCCTGGGTGGGGGAAGGGACTATAGCAAGCTATTTCCACCTCTCCCAGTCTCAGTTTCATTATCTGTAAAGTAGGCATAATAAGGATATTCTTCCCAGTGTTACTTGAGGTGAAAGGCATGTGGATGGCTCTTATCTAGTTCTAGGCACAGAGGGACCCAGGAAGTGACCATTGGTATTTTTAGAGGCCACACAGCCTGGCCAGGCAAAGGGTATCCAGGCAAAGCAGATCAGATGACTTCCTCTTTCAGCTATTTCCTCTCTGGTGGAAACAGTGACCAAGGTTTCTTCACTGCCCTGTCTAGTCCACAAGCATCTCATCTAGAGGCTGTCATGCTGGGGACTCCCCACTTCTGCACCACATCATGAAGGGAGGTGAATGCAGGTGCCACACCTCCCTCCCATGGCTGCACTGAGGACACAGTGGGATGGTGCACAAGGAGAGCTTGTCCTCTGCAGGGCTGTGTTCACAGCTGGAGGCCAGCGAATGCCCCAGAGAGCCAAACACTGGATCCTAAATGGGGTTTGGAAGGTGTCAAGAGAATGGCATGCGGGAGGAGGCGAGGCCTGAAAAGTCACTGGGAGTCAATGGACTGTGAAGGGCCTTGAATGTTAGGCACTGAAGCAAGGGGGGAGCGGGGGATGGGTTTGAGTGTCACAAGGGCCCCAGGCCTCTGTATAGACTGAATAAGTAGAGTGAAGTCATCCTTGGAGCCTGGTCACACCCACCCCCATTGGGCTGTAGCTGGAATGGTATGTTGCTTCAAGAGAGTCATTTCCAACACAAGTGTGCTAAGATGCTAGGGCCCTCCAGGTGAGGTGCACTCTGGAACCTTTAGAAGGGTTTAGCATCTGGGCTCTGGCCTTTAGCAAGCCCTGAGGACCTCAGTAGGCTGGCAGGTGCCTGCTTCTCTCAACTGTTTCTGTTCATTGCCCCCCTCCAGAGCCTATCCTGGAGTGCCTTCTTTGGATTTATTTTTGGCTGGTTAAGTGGCCCAGTGCTCTGTCCTGTTTCCCAATCCTTCTTTCAGAGTATACAAGACCCTGCCTATGAAGCCGAAACCACCGTCTGTACCCCGACACTGAATTAAATCTCGGAGACAGAGTTTTGGGTGAAGTAGAGAGGAATAGCTTTATTGCTTTGCCAGGCAAAGGGGGCCACAACAGGCTAATGCCCTCAAAACTGTGTGTCCCAACTTGGAGAGGGTAGTGAGAAGTTTGATAGTAATGGTTCAAGAGGGTGTGGTCAGCTCATGGAAATTCTTCTGATCGGTTGGTGGTGAGGTGAGTGGGAGTCAACATCATCAACCTTCTGGTTCCAGCGTGTCTGGGGTCTGCAGCATACCGGTGGGGGTTTCAGTATCTGCAAAACAGCTCAAAGATATTGTTGTGTGTGTGTATCCCTTGATGGGGAACCAGGACCTTGCCCCAAGGCTGCACTATGGTTTCTCTATGACTGTTTCTCCTTTGTCTTGCATCCCCTCCCTTCCCTAATTAACAACTGCATGAATCTGCCAGTTTGAACTCAGGAAAGGTCTTGGAGGCTGAATGAAGCCTATTTCCTGTAATCAGAGAAATGGGGAACACAGAAAGGCTTTTGTGCCTAGGAGCCCCACAGATATCACCTACTCTGCAGCCTGGGATAGCCGTGGGTAGAAGGCCTTTGGGTTTCCAGCCTGCCAGGCCCAGGGTCTCATTCATGCTCTATGTCCCCCTTCAGTGCCCGGTGATTTGGGCAACCAGCTGGAGGCAAAGCTGGACAAGCCGACAGTCGTGCACTACCTCTGCTCCAAGAGGACAGAGAGCTACTTCACACTCTGGCTGAACCTGGAACTGCTGCTGCCTGTCATCATTGACTGCTGGATTGACAATATCAGGTGGGGGCTGGGGCACAGGTGGGGCGCTGCTCGCTGACCCGGTCTAGAGACGCCTCCAGAGCCCATTTCTATCTCACCTGCGCCTCAAGAGATCTCAGGCTCAGCGTCACTGACCTCTCTCCCTTCCCATTTCCTCTGTCTGGTCCACGCCACCTTGGCACTCTCCCAGACAGAACTTTCTTCCCTTTCCTGCTGCTCCTGTCCCTACCCTCTCCAGTGCCTCAGGCCCTATTTGTGGTTTCTATGCTCCATCCCCTATTCACAGCCTCGCCTTGGCCCCCACCCTTTCCCTTGCCTCTGACTTGGCCACACCTGCCCCTTCCAGCTGCTTGGGGATTCCTTTCCACTTGCTGTTCTTTCAGCCTGGAATCACCCTTTACTCCCTTTGCCTGATAAACTCCCTCCCATTCACTCTTTAAAACCCAAGCCTGCTTTCTTTGTGAAGTCTCCCTGCCAATCCCCAGAGCTCTTTTTGTTTCTGTGTTAGTTTTTTATAAATTTATTTATTTAATTTTTGGCTGCGTTGCTCGCGTGGGGTCTTTGTTGCTGCGCGTGAGCTTTCTCTAGTTGTGGCGAGCGGTGCGTGGGCTTCTCATAGCGGTGGCTTCTCTTGTTGCGGAGCACAGGCTCTAGGCACGTGGGCTCAGTAGTTGTGGCTTGCGGGCTCTAGAGCACAGGCTCAGTAGTTGTGGCACACGGTCTTAGTTGCTCCACGGCATGTGGGGTCTTCCTGGCCCAGGGCTTGAACCCGTGTCCCCTGCATTGGCAGGCGGATTCTTAACCACTTTGCCACCAGGGAAGTCCATGTCCAGAGCTCTTAACCTCCCCTTCCCCCTGGCCACATGCCTGCTCCTCTAACCTGCATTCCCTGCCTGCCAAACATTGTTTCCTAGGATATTTCTTCCATAATAAGATAATCATGTAATGAGACTTACTGCTTATTGAATGCAAACACTATACATTTTACATACTTTCTTTTATTGAGTCTTACAGCAATCCAGTGAAACAAGTGCTGTTTTTAGACCTGTTTTACAGATGAGGAAATCTGGAAGCTCAAAGAGGTTACAAAATTGCTTAGGGTCACTTAGCTAATAAGTGACAAACTAGAATTTGAACCCATAGTTGTGTGCCTCTGAACTAAGGTTCCCGCCCACCCTGAGCTCCCTGAAGGCAGGGACTGTGTCTCTTTTATCTTTAAAGCTGTAGGACCAGAAACACAATTGTTTTTCAATAAATATTTGAGCTGAATGGAGTCTTTCAAATTAAGATTGTTTTTTCCCCTGGAGACACACTAGCTGGTTCTAGCTGGTTCTCTGGGCACCCTGCCTTTCCCTGTTGTTTATGACCCCTGCTTTGTTGACTCTTTCCTCCTCCTTGTGCGATCAGGGTTATTTCTGGGATGTTGATCCGCATTTCTATTTTTGTGCAGAAGCATGGTCTCAGGTATTGCCAGTTGGAGGTACAGGCTGATACTGAGAGGGGCTTATCTACTTTTGTTGGGCTCTGACCTCTTTAGACTTGCATCCAGCACAGAGTACTTTGGCTTTCTAGAACTTTGCTGAGTGGCCATTGGGATGATCTACAGATTGCCCTGGAGAGAGTGGGTCCCCAGGACTTTGATTTGGGCCAGTGTTGGGTATCTTGTCAGCTTTCTGTGGCTGATCTTTAAGGGTGGGTGGGACTCAGGACCACTGGGGACTGCAGGTCTAGCCTGTGTTTTCTCAGGCACATTTGCCTCCTTAGTATCAAGGGAGGCCAGAGCAGGGTTCCTGGCCTGGCACAAGGCTTTCCTCCTGTCTTCCACCACCCTGTCCCCATCATGTCTCCAGGCCTTGCCCACCCACTCACACAGCAGCCACAGGTGCTCGGGGTTTCTCTGTCTGGTTCTGTTGTGTGTTGCATTCATCATCTCCTTTGCCCTGTGTTGTGTTATGGTGGGTGGCAGGAGCTGGATCCATGGAGATGGAGCAATGGGAGCCTGTGAAGTTAGGCTGCCTGCCTTTTGGGGTCAAGTGTGATGTTCATGGCGGAGCCAGGCCTGGCAGCCAGATCCCTCTCTAACCATATCTAAGACCTGCATTAGACAGTATGGGTGACATTGAGGAGAAGGGAATATTGCCTCACAGGGGTCCTGGAGTCAGTCTCTGGAGTGAGCCTTGGTGGGGTCCTCATTTGGATGTGGTTACTCTGATCTGTGCTTTACAAATTTGCTTTGTTACTTTTTGGTCTCCCCTATACATCTGACCAGACCTGAGGATGGGAAGGGAATGTGGCTCAGGACACAAGACAGTATTGGGACACACCAACTTAGGTGTCACCTCTGGGTCACTGGCTCAACATCCCCTCCTGGCAGGCTGGTCTACAACCGAACGTCCCGCACCACCCAGTTTCCTGATGGTGTGGATGTGCGTGTCCCTGGCTTTGGAAAGACCTTCTCACTGGAGTTCCTGGACCCCAGCAAAAGCAGTGTGGGTGTGTAGCCCTTCCTCATGGCCCCCAGGGAATGGGGATGGAGGTTCTGATGGACTCCGAGAGTGGGAGGAGCCCTGTTGGTTTGAGTGGGGGTAGCCTGTGAACCGTCTCTAATCAGTGTGGGCACAGAGCCCTATAGCACTCCTTCGGGGATCTCCCGGCTGTAGGTGTCACAGTCTCCTTGGCAGGCGTGGTGTGGGCAGCTGACAACGACTGTACTCTCTCTAATCCTGTGGATTTATGTCTATAGGTTCCTATTTCCACACCATGGTGGAGAGCCTTGTGGGCTGGGGCTACACACGAGGTGAGGACGTCCGGGGGGCCCCCTATGACTGGCGCCGAGCTCCAAGTAAGTGGTTGCTCTCATTTCCTCCCTGAGATCATGCGGGAGGGGGGTGGAGAGGAGGAGGTAACAGCCACCAAAGGCCCTGGGCCTTTCCCTTCTCCCGTGTCTCTGGCATCCAGCCCAGCCATCACAGGTCCTGTCCTTCCCCCACCCTCAGCCCAGGATTTCTGGGCCTCTGAGCCCTGGGGAGAGATAATGAGGCTGAGGAGGGGAAAAGGAGCTTCTTCTCCCTTCATGGAAATTGAGGGGAAACCAGACCCTCCCCACTTGGATTTTCACACACTCCCCACCCACCTAGTCCTGGGTCTGGCCTGAGACACAGTCAGTGGTTCAGGCCCAAGGACCCTTCCTGCCTGACCCCCGCCTGGCTCTGGCCTGCAGATGAAAACGGGCCCTACTTCCTGGCCCTCCGCGAGATGATCGAGGAGATGCACCAGCTGTATGGGGGCCCCGTGGTGCTGGCTGCCCACAGTATGGGCAACATGTACACGCTCTACTTTCTGCAGCAGCAGCCACAGGCCTGGAAGGACAAGTATATCCATGCCTTTGTGGCACTGGGTCCGCCCTGGGGGGGCGTGGCCAAGACCCTGCGCGTCCTGGCCTCAGGTAAGACCCTGCCTGGCCCAGCATGGGGGGTGCTGGTATCAGATGGCACACTCTCTTTCCCTCTACAGTGGCCTCCTGGGCCACCCTCACGTCTCTTCTCTTGGGTCAGGACCCTTCCTTATCCAGAGTTGTATTCTTTTCCAAACATCTCTTTCTAAAAGAGAATATAACACTACTAAATTCACCTCTCCGGCTGATGACTCTTGTTATCTGTGTAGGTTTCTTACAACATGTACACGGAGTGGCATAACCGTTGGTCATAGGGCACACGTGTACACACACACACACACACACACACACACAGCTTTGTCCTGGCTGGCCTTACTTGGTTTGATCCAAAGTTCTCTGGAGGAGCCTTCTCCCTCTCTCTTACCCCCATCCTCACTTCTTCATCCCCACCTTCACCCTAGAGAAGGAAGGCTGGGCTACAGTTTCCTGTTTGTGAGTTACACCTCCCTCTGTGGCAGCGGGGAGCCTCTGTGGGCCACACAGAGAGGAAGCAGGTGCAGATTTGTCTGGGCCTGCTTGCTTGGCAGTTGGGAAAACCACCTCCTTCCCTGTTCCTCCCCAGTCCACTTGCCTTTTCAGGACTGTTAGAACATACCAGCTGTAGCCCCAGGGCTTTCCTCCCTCTGCTAGGACTGGATGTGAGCCAGGGCTGTACCAAGCATCTGATGAGCTTTCTTCCTCAAGTGACTGCCACTGCCTGACCTGCTTATTGGTCACCTGATCGTTGTGATCAGTCCTCTCCCAGTCGTCACCCTGGATTAGCTGGACAGTGAATCCAATTATAGTGAGGACTCATCACAGCTACCTACTCTGTCCAGCCTGGACCTGAAAGGAGAGATGTGGGCCCTTCTGAGTTTGAGACAGGTTACCATGGTGGAGTTCAGGTACTGGCCCTTTCAGAGCTTCCCCATGAGTCCCCTTAGAGCGGTGGTCCCCAACCTTTTTGGCACCAGGGAATGGTTTCGTGGAAGACAATTTTTCCACGGAGGGGGCGGGGGGCTTGGGAGGGGTGATGGTTCAGGCGGTGATGCGAGTGATGGGGAGCGGTGGGTAAATCGTCACTCTCTAGCCCACTGCTCACCTCCTGCTGTGTAGCCCAGTTCCTAACAGGCCGCAGACTGGTAATGGTCCGCGGCCCGGGGGTTGGGGACCCCTTCCTTAGTTAGAGCTTTGCCTCAGATTCTGGGAGACTGCTGTCAGGCTCTGGCAGTCTGGGAGTGGGGGTGGGACAGGACGGGTGGTAGTCGTGGACCCTTAGCTAGGGGTTCCCTTTCCTGAGGGCTCCTAGAGCCAGGCCCCAGCAGGCAGAGCTGAAGGCCTGCAGTCAGTGGTGGGGTGATGGGTGGCTGTGAGTCCTGAGCAGGGCAGAGGCCCCTGTTCCCAAGTTCCAGCTCATCCTCTGGCGATCTCACTGGCTGGTGGATGCGTTTGTGCTGTTGGCATTCCTATGTAAGAAAGACTCTCACTTTGTCTGCAGCCTCCCCTCCTGCCCTGTCTCCTGCAGGCCTGGCTGCCCAGGTCAGTGCCAGGCAGGTAGGTGGGATGAGACCAGGGCTGGCTGGATGTAGGTCTGAGCCTAGGAAGGGGAAAAATGTTTACATAGCTCAATGTAATAAAAGATTAAGAGGACTGTGACTGTGTCTTTGGGCTGCCCACCTGCTGATTCACCTGTGACAAGGTCAGTACCCACAGGCCGGGTGATAAGTGCTCTGGGGAAGGTATTGTTTTTACCATGAATCACCCTGTGGGTGTGAGCTGCCTAAATCCCTGGTGACAAAATGCAAAAGGAAAGAAACAAATCTTGGTCATGTGCTTCCTAGATAGAGCAAAAATACAGGGAAATAGGGGAGTTGTCACCTCGTTAACAGCATAGAGATGCCAGAGTGCTGGCCAGGCCCGGGCTGGGGGCTGGCAGGGGCCCTGGCGGTGAGCATGCTGCCCAGCTGGCTTGCATTCCCGAGCACAGACTGACTGGAGTCCTCTATCCGCAGGAGACAACAACCGGATCCCGGTCATTGGGCCCCTGAAGATCCGGGAGCAGCAGCGGTCTGCCGTCTCCACCAGCTGGCTGCTGCCCTACAACTATACCTGGTCACCCAAAAAGGTCTTCGTGCACACACCCACAGCCAACTACACGCTGCAGGACTATCGCCGCTTCTTCCAGGACATCGGCTTCGAAGACGGCTGGCTTATGCGGCAGGACACGGAGGGGCTGGTTGAAGCCATGGTACCACCTGGCGTGCGACTGCACTGCCTCTACGGCACTGGTGTCCCTACGCCAGACTCCTTCTACTATGAAAGCTTCCCGGACCGTGACCCGAAAATCTGCTTTGGTGATGGTGATGGCACTGTGAACTTGCAGAGCGCCCTGCAGTGCCAGGCCTGGCGTGGCCACCAGAAGCAAGAAGTGTCATTGCAGGCACTGCCGGGCACCGAGCACATCGCGATGCTGGCCAACGCCACTACCCTGGCCTATCTGAAACGCGTGCTTCTCGGGCCCTGATTCCTATGCTGGGCAGGGCTCTGGGATGGCCTGGCCACCACTGCTTCTCCTGGCCTGTGGGGCAACCATGGCCCATGAGTTGAGCAGTTTGTGACTGATCATCTAAGGCCCTGGATCTTGGGTTGGGAAGTGGGGAAATGCTGGGTTTTTTATCCTTCCTCTCTGGGAATGAGGAAGGAAGACATAGTCTGAAGTTACTTGAGGGACCCTTGGAAAGAATGCTGCTGATGGTGGAATTGTGACCTCAGGACTGGCTCCGCAGGTGGATTGGCTGGCACCTGACCCCAATCCCCAGTGCTGGGGCCTTGTGTTCCTCCTACCCCTGTGGCCTTTTCACACTCGCCCACCAGGGCCTGGCTCCTCAGCTTTCTTGTGAGGGATGTTACTGAACTGTGGTCCCTAGGTTGGGCTCCTGGTCCCTAGGGTGTACCTTCTCACACATTGGCCACAAGTCAGCCTGCTACTGGCCACGGGTGGCTGGAGCTGCTGTCTTTGTGTGGCCTAGCTGCTCACACAGCCTGACTGTGGCTTTCTGGGGGCAGCCCGGTTCCCCCTGCAGGCAGGGGTGGGTTGTTACGCTCTCCATGGTTCCCAGGCCCTGGGGCATTCACTCCTACCTCCCTTACTTCTAAGAACAGCCTAGCTCAGGGCTGGGCAGCAGATGGACCCCCAGTTCTCGGGGCTGTGTCCCAGGAGCCCTGATCTCCTTGGTTGGGCTGTTGCCCACAGTATTGATGCTGCCTCCCTTTGCCCTGGGGCTGTGGTTCAAGAATGAGAGCAGAGCCTGGTGCCATGCCCTTTAGGTACTTATGAGGAAAGAGGACTCAAGGAAGCAGCCAAGGCCAATCAGAGCCACCCTGAGCTGCCCTCTTGCTGACCCTCCACCACATTGCCACCCTGCCCAGGATCTCTCTAGCGTTCACGTGGGCTGGCACAGGACTGAGAGGAGGTAGGACTCTTGCCCACTCTGCCCAGCACCCATCCCCACCAGGCAGCTCAGTGGTGTTTAGTCAGCAGGGACTTGCCCAGAAACTTGAGTGGGCCCCTGAGAGAGCCAGGTGCCTTAGGGGCCCCCTAGGGGTTTTCTTCCTGCTCCAGAGGTGCTGCATGGATCTCCCTGTGATAGCAGGGATGGAGGATGTGGATCTGCCTTGGTGGTCTCCAAGTGGGCAGTGCCTAAAGGCCAAGACTTGGGTCTAGCCTCTGGGGTGGAGCCCCAAAGCCACAGTCAGGCTGGACTGTGCTTTGCTCCTACAAGGTTTCTGTGAAGCAGAATTTTCTCTGTTGCATTCATAGCCAGCATCTGTCTCTCCCTTTGTTCCTGAGTGGTGGGCCCCACATGGGGCTCTGAGCAGGCTGTACCTCGATTCTGGCAATAAAAGTATTCTGGATGCTGTAAAGTGCCCTGGCCTAGCCTCTGCTCTGAGCATGAGAGGAAGGAGTCAGTGGAAGGGTGAGGGGACTAACGAGGCAGGTAATCAGAGGCTGGACCTTGACCTTTCTGGGGCCTTGATGGGTTCTCTCAGCACCAAAGCATGGCTCCTGTGCACCTCTTTGGGTTTTATCCTCCTTCCCCCTCTCCTGGGATCTAGTTCCCCTCCTAGGACTGAGAAGCAGGACCTGAAACATTCCTGTTGGAATGGAGCTCCTGCCCACCACCCAACTCTGCCGCTCCTATGTGGTCAACAGGCCCCAAATGTCACCCCACAGCTGGGAGCCAAGGACAATCCTGACGGTCGCGCTGTCTGGACTCTGCTTCCCATCCTTCTGTCCTCCCACAGCTTGCAGGTCTCAGCATCCTTTGAATTTTTTTTAGGATGCTACCCTTCTACTTTGTTTCATCAGTTCATCTGCCTGCCATCTGTCCCTCTTTGGGAACAGAGTGAGACTGAGGAGGGAGGGAGAGAGACCAAGATGGGCAGAGATAGGGACTGAAAGACTGGGGACCAAATGGAGATGGATAAGGACAGAGGAACAAAGAGTCTGAGACAGGAAAACGTGTGTAAGGATGGAGACTAGGCCAGAAGTCTGTGGTGCAGAGCCCAGAGCTGTGGGCCAGTGGGGGTGGTGGAAGCTCCAGTTCCTGCCTCCTCCACAGAAGCCTGGCCAGCCGGGGTTTTAGGTGTCAATACACTGTGGGCCGCTAGAGGGTGCTCTGAATCTTCTCACTACACCAGTTATTGGCCAGACCTGGAAAAATGGGTGGCCCAGAGGGTCAGGATGACTAGGAATACATAGGTCCAGCCGCATCGCTGGCCTTGGTAAAAAGGATGACAACGTGAAAGGGAGTAAACCCTTACCCCCAGATCCTGCCCAGCCTCTTAGTGCCCTGACACACACCCACTCATGGCCTTGCCGCCACCCTCTCACCCCTGATCTGTTTCAACCGAACTTCTACCCTCAGTTTCACAGCTGTAGAGACAGGGTATGGAGTCAGAGCAGGCTTCAGGACCAGCAGACTGGGGTTCAAATCTGAGCTCTACCACTTCTAGCCAAGTAGCTTGGGGAGTCTCCTGACCTCCCTAAGCTTCGGTTTGCTCATCTTAAAAATGGGGATGGGGACTTCCCTGGCGCAGTGGTTGAGAGTCTGCCTGCTGATGCAGGGGACACGGGTTCGTGCCCTGGTCTGGGAAGATCCCACATGCCGCGAAGCGGCTGGGCCCGTGAGCCATGGCCGCTGAGCCCGCGCGTCCGGAGCCTGTGCTCCGCAACGGGAGAGGCCACAACAGTGAGAGGCCCACGTACAGCAAAAAAACAAAACAAAACAATGTACATACCTTCATTAAAAAATACTTTAGTGGACTTCCCTGGTGGCACGGTGGTTAAGAATCTTCCTGCCAATGCAGGAGACACAGGTTCGAGCCCTGGTCCGGGAAGATCCCACATGCCGCGGAGCAACTAAGCCCGTGCGCCACAACTACTGAGCCTGTGCTCTAGAGCCCATGTGCCACAACTGCTGAAGCCCGCGTGCCTAGAGCCCATGCTCCGCAACAAAAGCCACCGCAATAAGCCCGCACAGCACAACGAAAAGTAGCCCCCGCTCGCCACAACTAGAGAAAGCCCGTGCACAACAACGAAGACCCAACACAGCCAAAAATAAAACAAAACAAAACAAAACTTTAGTGCAAAAAAATGCTAACCATCATCTGACAAAACAGCATTGCCACAAACCTTCTATTTATAAAAGATGCAACATCTGCGAATCACAATAAGGCGCAGAGCAATAAGGCATGTTATGCCTGTACTCTCATTCACACTTAGGGAAAGTATTCCAAGCAGAGAGCACAAGGAGGGCAGCACCAGTGAACGCTCTTCAAGGATCATCACCTCAGGTCTATAGGTAGGAGTATGGAAGGGTTTTTAGGCAGAGGAGATACGAAGTCATTCCAATCTGTATTTTAGGAGCACCTCTTACCCTGTGGGGATGGGTTAGAGAGAGCAGGATAGGGATTGGGAGGCTATTATGGCTGGGGAGAAGAAAACCATGAGATGCAGGGCCTGGGGGAGCAGGAGGAGGAAGGGTTCAGGGTGCTGCACATTTCCTGCTGGGTCACTACGTGGTGGGGAGCAGGGTTTTGTGTGTAGGCAGTCTGGAACCAGAGGATGTGTAGTTGTGAACACGTGTCTGGGGGGAAATGACTGCATAGCCCAGAAGAGAATCATGGCTTGAGGTGTGGACAGGAAGCTAAGGGGTAGGGCTCAGCTTTCCACGAGATCAGGAGGCCCTAGACGGAGCCCCAGAGCTACCAGAGGAAAAGGAGCCCTAGAAGGAGATGGAGGAGGAGCAACCACAGGGAGAGGAAGAGGACAGGAGGGTGCAGCTCCAAGAGGGGTCAGGCAGGATGAGGACTGAAAACTGTCCTCAAGCCTGGGCCCCAGGTAGGCCTGGGGTTGGCTCTGGAAGCTCAGCGGTGTCCATGTGTCTGCAGGGACCTTAAAGGATGCACGGTGGTCGGAGCTGTGACTCGGAGGACGAATCCTGGGTCTGTCTCCCTAGGGTCTCCAGGCGGAGGGTTGGCTGTGAACGGGGTATGGAGGCTGTTTAGAGCTCCTCGTGTGAGCTGTATGGGGTCCCCCGGGAGTGCGGCCCAGGCCAAAAGCCACAGAGGAACCGGGTGTGGGGCACTTAGAGGTTCCCGCGGGAGCGTCCCCGTATTGAGTCCCTCGGAGGCCCCGAGAGACTCCAGGGTCGCGGAGCAGCCAATCAGTCGGCTAGTGGGGCTGGGCCCGGGTCGCGGCCCGCCGGGGGCTGGGACCTCACCTGCAGACCCCTGAGCGCGGCCGGCGGAATTCCAGAGGCCACGGCGGCCCCCTGGGGCCCGGAAGCGCCGCCGCCCGCGAGCCCCGCGCGGAGCCAGGCGCCCTGTCCCGACGCGGCGCGCGCTGTCGCGATCCGGCGGCGGATGACGTGGCGGGGGCGGGGCCTGAGCGGTCGCGGCGGGGGCGGTGGCAGCGCGACCGAGCATCCCGGAGGCGCCGGGCCACCACGAGGTAACGGGCCGCGGGCGGGCGCGCCGAGGGAGCCGGGCCGTGGGAGCAGGGCCGCGGGAGCCGGGCTGGGGCCGCGTTCTGCTGGGGCCGAACTCTCTGCGCCGCCGCTGCATGCGGGATGCGGTTCCCGTAACCCAGCACGGGGCAGGCGGGCCGCGGGCACGTGAGAGACGCTGCGAGTGAGCGCGTGCCCGAGGGGTACGCCGTGCGTGTGAGCGGGACCTTGAGCGTGAGGGGGACTCCAGGAGTGTAAGACTGAGCGTGTGAGGAGGACGCCGTGTGTGTGTGTCTGTGTGTCAGTCTGAGGGTGACCCTGAATGTGCGAGACGCAGTGTGAGGGTGACGCTGTTAGTGTGACGGAGACTCGGTGTGTGTGTGAGAGAGACCCTAGTGTGGAGGTGACTCCATGAGTGTGAGAGGGACTGAGAGAGGGAGATTGTGAGAGACTGAGTGTGAGAGAGACCGCGGTCAGAGTGGCCCTGAGTGCGACCCTGTGAACGTGAAAGAGACCGTGTGAGATACTCCAGTGTGAGTCTGGTGCTGAGAAAGAACTTGTGCTGCGTCGGAGAGACTCAGAAAATGAGTAAAGGCCCAGGGGACGAGCCTGAGGATGTGAGCACCTGAGCAGAGCTTCCTGGGGCCGCGGGGAGACTGGCCTGTTGGAGGGAGGACGGTGTGTGCTCCTGCTTCTATGGCTCTTCTTAGTGTCTTCACATCCTGTCATCTTGTTTGATCATCTCATGTCGTAAATGGAAGGCGATATTTGTGAAACATTAAGAGAATTCTTCACAGAGCACTGAGTGAACAGTTTGGGCACCACTTGTGTTATAGCCAGTGATAAGCAGGAATCAATATTTAATTTAACATTTGTTTTTGAGTACCTCTTGTGTGCACTGGACTGTGTGCTTGGTAAAAAGAATTCAGTCTCTGCCCTTGATGGGGAAGAAAAAGCACTACCAGGCTAGCAGAATGCGCAGCCATCTGGTGCTTATCTCTGAGAGCTGCTCCCTGATTTTGAAGATCTGGGAGGAGCAGACTTTTGAAAGCCTGTGAGAGCTTCCTGAAATCATTTTCAACTCTCTGTTCTTGTTGGGAGGCCCTTGAGGAAACGGCCCAGGCTGCCTACATTGCTGAGGTCCCACTGCGTGCTAATGGCTTTTGCTTCCCAACTTTGGTCTCAGATTGTCATTAAAAGTTCTTATATTTGATTTTCCTTTCCTGACAAATTTGTGGGAAACCACAGGCCTGATATTCTCCTGTCTGCCTCCTTCCCTTTCTGACTGTGGACATATTTTTATTACAAACCAAAAATAATAGCAGTTATATGACTGATCTCTCTGGCATTTCTTGGTACACAGGAAATTTCCTGACTTCTGTCCTTTGTCCTTCCTGCTGTAGCCTCCAGAATGTGTGGATACATTACTACAAAAGTGATGCAGGTGGTGCTTATGGGACTTGGGACAGAGGGAACAGCAGTTGTCTAGACATGCATGACTTGAAAGGACCAGGCTGGTTCTCAGACACGTGTTCAGTTACACCCCACTGTGGGTGTGATGGAACTTCTAAGACTTCATTTTCTTCTTCGTACCTGACCATTTACGATGGATGAGGTGGCTTATGAAAGTGTGATGTTTGCTTATTTCCTCACAGGTGGATATTATTGCTCTGTTCTTCGTTAATTTTCTTGGATCTTTGCAAGTTGTAAACCGTTTTAGTTAGTTATTTGAGTACAATGCTAGTAAAGAGAATGGCTCACACATAATTAACAGTTATGTAACACTATAATTATTATATAAATAACTTATATATTTATTATATCTCTTTCTAAAGAGTAATTTTGGTGGTTTATATTTAAAGATACTTGCAATGAGGAAGTAAAAATAGGAAACCAAAGCCATGGAAAAGACTAGAT